AATATAACTACCTTTTAAGATAAAATTAACATGACATTTAGGTTGGCTACATCTAACGAATAGAAAATTTAAATGTAGCTCACTATTCATACTTTTCTCAAAGTTAATCTAGTTACAATTATTAAAGGGCCATTTTAAAGGTCAAAATATGTAATAACTGCTGTTACATTTTACTACTATTAAAGCTTCTCATAAATCTTTGCCCAAAATCATTATAAATAATTAAAAATGTTCCTATGCATTGTCATGCCTTTCTATCAAGAATTTCAATTGCTTATATTTTCTGCCCCTTAAAAATGTGTTTAACTGAAGATATGTTATCATTTGTATCACTTCCACTCAGCAAATTAGATTTAGCAGAAAAGGATCCTTTCACTATTCAAATATGAATGTGGCTTTAGAAATCACTCAAGAATGAGCTTGCTCTCATTATAACTTGGGCAATCTTTTACCACAGGAGTTGTTGGGGACCAAGAAAACGACCCCCAAAAGAACATGATTGCAAGGCATGTGTTCTAATTACAGTGAAGAGATGACAAGACCTCTCTCGTGATTGTTTGTTTTTAGAGATGGCAAAGCCTCTCTGTGGTTGAATGTTGCTTTAAGAGATGGCAAGGTCTCTCTCACTGTTAAATACTTAATTGGCAAAACATCAAAGTATTAAACTTAGATGTTATTCTCCATGTTTTTTATCTTATTGGGATGTTTCATACTTTGCGTCACTGTGTCCTAGTAAACATTTATGGTTTTACACCCCTTATTCCTGAGGAGATTTTTGTGATTGTTTTAATGACCACCTGTTGTCCTTGAGCACGTAGAGGAGTAAAACTTTAGCTCTGTAGAGAATAAGCTGATTGTATGGATTCCAAGACTAATGACGTAATCATGTACAAACATATAACTAAAGTAGAACAAAGACATTGGGGTCACTCTTGCAGAACGTGCACGGCATCTGCCTGGCCCCCGTTCCTTCTAAATAATAATAAAGAAAAACTTTAATCCTTTCATGTCGCTTCACTCCGTGACCTGTGCAGTTGTGCCGAATGCAGCAAGGAGTCATCATTTTTAAGTTAAAAAAAATGCATAGTACTTGGCTCACTTTGAAAGTACCAACTTTTTCTATTTCTACTTTTGTAGGTTTTTTTTTTTTTTAAAAAAACTGTTTTATTAAGGCAATTTCTGGATAATCATTTCTCTGGGTAAATACTATATGAACTATACATCAAACAGCCCTCTTTTGTACCATTAGTGACAATTTTAAAGTAAATCATTTGCAAGGACTAAATAAGCCATTACACTTCCTTTTGCAGCTTCTGAAAGGAGATGTTAGGGCTGGCACTAAATATCCTTATTCCTGAGACTGGTAATGGAGCTACACTAATCATCATTATCATAACCATGAACTGATGCTTGCACAGTACTTTGTGTTTTATAAAGGGTTTCATGAATGTTACCTCAATTCTTTCCTCAACAACCTGAGCCCAGACAAATCCAGTGTCTGACTCGATGGCACATAACAACAACAACAATATAAAATAAATGCTCAAGAAATCTGTCTTTAGTGAATAAATGAATAAATAACAAGCTTTATTTTTATTCCCATGTGAAAAATGAGGAGTGGAGTCTCCAAAGAATTAAGTGACTTGCCAATGAAAAACATCTCAAAATGATCACTCGAATCCTAATGTTCAGATTCAAAATCACATGGCATTGCCATTCAGTGATTTGTGTCTGCTGGTAGGAGTTGGTGTACTGATCTCAAAAAAATCTCTTAATTGTCTCCCAAAACCATGCTTTACATAAATTATCTTTATCATAAGACACTAAATATTAAATGAATTGTAGCTTTGACACACATATAGGTGGACAGAAATAGAGAACCCTCATTAACCAGTCCTTTCTTCTCTGCATCTCACATAGTATTTGTCATCAGAAATTCTACACCTGAACTTAGGGTGCCAGAAGAGAGCATTTATTCATACAACGTATGTTGTTAGTTGTTGTTAGGTGCTATTGAATCAGCTCCAACTCATAGCGACCCCATCTACAACAGAATGAGACCCTGCCCGGTCCTGTGCCAGCTTCACAAGCCTTGCTATACCTGAGGTTGGGCACGTTAAGAGAAGGTTCCTATGGAGCTCTTGCCATCAAGGAACTTCCCATTGTCACTTCCAGTTTATTAGACAGTCAGCTTTTACCAGGGAGATTCCATCCTTTGAAGCTGAAGAGAGTTGAGCTATGACATAGAATCATGTTCTCTCTGGTTAATGAAACAAGAATTTGTCCATCTCCAAGCAGGATTTAGTTCATGTGCTGTCTTGTTGACTAATGTTGTTAAGCCAGACAATCAGACCACCGATCCCAATGCTAAATAGTTGCTTCATGCATCATGCAGTGGTACATTCCACAGGAGATTCTAATTAGGGGGTGCCTACCTATGCCCTTCTAAAATTTCTAGAATTGGGTATCAAAGAACCTCTTTAACACTACATTATTATTATTATTTTTTTTTTGTCAAGCATTTTTGTCCCCATCTGTAAAAGATTTAAAGCATTCCTAAAGTTAGTTGGTAGGAAATGTGCAGCCATATCTGGGCTCAATGTGTGTAATCGACCTCATAGCAACATGCAAGCCACCTCAGTATGGCAAACTGACAAACGACTGGTGGCCACATATAATAATTAATATAAATTTAGAAATATTATCATATGAGGTGATCCAGAGCTAAGCAACTCTGGTAGTCAAGTCTGTGTGTCCACTTGGCTGGACCTAGTTGAGTGGCTGGGCAGCTAGATGTAGCATTCCCCGTGATGAGACTGGTGATCAACTCCATGGTGGAATCTACTGTGAGCAGCTGAATAGCTCCCCTAGGGATGTGATCTGCTTCCTGCATGTAATGAGAAGCCTTGGGGAATGGTCTCCAGCCTATGGCATGCTTGGACCCTGCATGTAGCTGTGTTGTTGTTCAGCAGCCTGCCATGCTCTGTCAACCTTGGCACTTATAATGGACTTGAATTAATGGCCTCCCATGTGGTTTGGTAGCATAGTGCCTAAGGCACTTGACTGCTCACCAGAAGGCTGGTGGTTCAAACCCACCAGCCACTCCTCGGAAGGAAGGTTGGGCAATCCTACTTCTGTAGTGATACTGCCTCGGAGACCCAAGGAGGGGTCGCTATGAGTCGGGGCCGACTTGACGACAAACAACAACAATGTGGTTTGGTAACATCGGGACTGTGCCATTTTATTTGTCAACCTTGGGGTTGTTAACCTCAGCAGGCAGTAGCTGCCTGAATGAGGAGATGCCTCTAGCTTTAATGGGCTGGGAGCAAGAGGCAGAGCTGAAGCCCAAGATCAAGGGGCTTTCACACAGCCCCTAGAGCCTGGCACTTTGAACTCGGACTTTGAACTCGGACTTCCAGCCTCCTGTACTGTACGAGAATAAACTCCTGTTTGTTAAGGCCATCCCATTTGTGGTATATTCCTGTCAGAGTGGCACTAGGTAACCAGAAAAGAAAGTAACCAGGTCTTATATAAAATACCTTACACTCATATCTATTTAGAATTCAAGTGGAAAACAATAGAGAAAAAAAATTAAGGCAAAGTTGACTAATTAAAAACAAAAATAGTGTTCACAATTCTGTATAAGCCTCATCTCATTCATCTCTCTAGATTTCTCTATTCCAAGTAACTACTTTCCCTTTCCCAACATTTCTTTTAATCATATTTAACTCATATATATTATGTTGTCATCTCAAAATCAACATGTCTTAAACTGAACATATTATCTCTTCTCCAAAATCTGCTCTTTAACAACTTCCTCATTTTCATCAATAACATCTTCAACCCTTCCATGACCTCCTTCAGAGGTATTCTTTCCTTCCTTCCTTCCTTCTCCAGTCCTTTCTCTTCCCCTTCCCTCCTTCCTTCCTTCTTCCATTTTTTTTTTTTTTTTTTGATTCCTTTTAGTAGTATCACATCTCAGCTTTGAATCAGACTTAAATTTCTTTCTTTCCCCACCTAGACTGTAACTTTCTGAGGTCAGGGGCAATATTTTCTGCTGCTTTTATATAAACTGGGGCAACTAATCCAAGTCTGGACAGTGATCTTCTCCAAATCTATGTCAATGTCTATAAATCTCTATATTATATCAGATTGAGTGAGGTCATACCAAAAAGAGTCCATACATTTATTTCTGACCATTCACTTTCTTATTTTTGCTGTCCAATGCCTCAAATTTAAAATCTT